TATATATATATATATATATATATATATGTAAATAAACAAATAAATATATTTGTATATACATACATATACAAGTATAAATATATACATATGTATATATATATATATATACGTATAAATATAAATAAATAAATAAATGTATATATATATATATATTTACATTTATATTTATATGAGTTTATAGTCTCAGTGCTTCGTTTTATATGTTCTTAAAATAATATATTTTAGAGTATTTGCACAACATTATAAAGAGCAAACAAACACCTTTTATTTACTTCTCTTAGAACTTCTTTTTATTTATTTATTTATTATCTTCATCTGCTTCAACGAAGAGACAACGAAAAGCATAAAGAGACAATCCCTGTATATATATATATATAAATGCATAAGCATGCATATATGTATACCTATATATATATATATATATATATTATATGAACGCGAAGGAGACGAGAAAGATAAAGAGACAGTCCCTCTGTGTACTGACTGAGGTGCTGCAGTGTATACGCAGGGGGGCCCCACGGGAGGCCCTGCTATTTTTCTGCTGTCTTTTTTATTTTCGCAACATTTTAAAGTGTCTTTTGCTTCAAGGCAAATGCACAAATCCCCTCTTGCTGCTCAGAGCTCGCAGCAGCAGCAGCAGCAGCAGCAGCAGCAGCAGCTACAATAGCAACAGCAACTGCAGTAGCAGCAAGACAGCGTGTGGTGTCTCATCCCAATATCTTGCAGCTACATAATATATATATATATGTATATATATATATACATATATATATATATATATATTATATCTACATATATATAATGTATATATATTATATCTGCATGTATATATGTACGTGAATTATTTATGCGTATACTGCAGTGTATATACGCATTAAGGAAACATTCCATAGAAAGAGGCAGCCGCGAGGCATCGCTGCTGGTGCTGCAGTCTCCTTAGCATCAGCTACCTACTGCAGCAGCAACAGCAGCAGCAGTAGCAGCATCGGCAGCAGCAGTAGCAGCAAAACAACTGGAGATAAATAAGTGTGTACGCATACAGCAGAAGCAAAACTAATAAACAGCAAACACCCTTCCTTCGCATGCAAGGAGGAGGACCCCTAAAACAACAGCAGCAGCAGCAGCAGCAGCAGCAGCAGCAGCAGCAAATTATCTCTACTGGGGCTGCCAAGACAGGGGGGTGTCTGCGGTGTATAGGCAGCTACAACACAGCACTAGAAGTTTGTGTTTTGCTGCACATTATATCAATAAAGTACGTCTATTTAATTTAAAAATACTAAAAAACAGCAGCAAACAAGCAAATTAAATAAAGAAGCCCCCAAGTGCTGCATGCATGCACCGAGCCCTCGGGCCCGATGCAGCAGCTGCAGCAGCAGCAGCAGAAACAGCAGCAGCAGCAACGGGAATAAACAGCAGAAGGAATAAACCCTCTAATACCATTGTGTTTAGGGTTTAGGGTTTAGGGTTTAGGGTTTAGGGTCTGCTTGATCGGTTCCTTACCTGCCTCATTTCAGCGGCCTCCAGCCAGCCCCGTTGCTGCTGCTGCTGCAGCAGCTGCTGCTGCTGCAGCTGCTGCAGCTGGTTGCTGCTTAACGTGTCTCCTCCTCCTCAGCTGAGGATCTCCTCAGGCGGTGTCCTGCTGCTCCACGAGGGGCCCCAACAGCAGCACCACCCCCGCTTAGCAGCAGCAGCAGCTGCAGCAGCAGCGCTGCAGCAGTAGATCCGTGTGTTTGCTTGAAGCAACACACTCTCAGAACCACATCCCGCAGCCACAGCGGCAGCAGCAGCAGCAACAACAACAACAACAACAGCAGCAGCAGCAGCAGCAGCAGCAGCAAGATGGCGGCTCTACAGGGGGATGTAAGTGAGACGCAGAACAGCTGGGCCGAGCTGCTGTCTCGAGTTGGGGCCCCCGAGGAGGGGCCCCCCCCTTTGCTGCAGCGCATTCGTGCTGCAGCACTTTCATCTCGTGCAGCAGCACTAGGGTTTGGTGGCAGCAATGAATCGGCTCTGCAGCTGGGGCCTGGAGCAGCATCAGGTGCTGCTGCTGCTGCAGCAGCAGGCAGCAGCAGCAGCAGCAGCAGCTATGGTAGCGACTTGTTGGAGTCGCTGCTTCCTGCTGCAGCACCTGCTTCTACGTGTGGGGCCCGAGACAGCTTGTCTGTCTCTCTTGCACGATATACAAGAGAGTATAGGAGGCTTAAAGCGCAGGGGTTGCTTTCAGATGGCGTCTCCTTACTAGAAAGCCCTGCTGCTGCTGCAGAGGCTAGCGGCGGTGGGGGTGCTGCTGCTGCTGGAGACTCTGCTGCAGCAGCACAGAAGCAGCAGCAGCAACAGCAGCAGCAAGATACATTCGTGGGGCTCGAAGGCAGCACCAGCAGCGTTGATGTTGCTTCCTTTCGGCGTCTGCGGTGTCTCTACAGCAACGCAGCAGCAGCAGCTCTAAGGTGCGCAGCAGCAGCACAGCAGCAGCTGCTTGCTGCTGTCGATATGGAGAGAGACCTTAGCTGCTGGGCATCAACAAAAGCAGCACTGATGCAGCAGCTTGCGCTGCCTGCAGCAGCAGCAGACAGTCTGCTGCAGCATGCAGCAGGGGGGCCCCCCTGCTCTCTTGGGGTGTCTGACGAGGTTGCTGCTGAGGAGACACTAAGGCCTAGTCGTCTTCTAACAAACCCCGAGCAGCAGCTGCTATATTTGCTGCCAGCATTGAAGCAGCTGCAGCAACAGGAAGATGGGCGTGGTTTGGCTTTGCTGCTGCAACAGCTGCCTGCAGCAGCAGCAGCTGCTGCTGCTGCTGCTGCGTTGGAGCAAGAGGAACCCACAACAGCAGCTGCTGCTGCTGCAGCAGCAGCAGAAGCCGTTGTTTGCGTACAGCCTTCAGCTTTAGACAGCTGGGGTGTATGGACAGCGGAGCAGCAGCAGCACTGCAGCAACTGGCTGCGGCTGCTGCTGGGGGCGCTGCGGTGTATCGAGAGGTGGAGACAGGCAGCAGCAGAAGAGACAAGGCCCTCGCTGCTGCGTCTATTGATTTGTAATTCTGTTGCTGCTCTGGAGGAGGACCGACGTGCTGCTGCAGGGGCCCCGGATCTGCTGCTGCAGGCAGCCACAGCAGCAGCAGCAGCAGCAGCAGCAGGAACGCGAGGCGCGGACGAGCAGCTCTGCTGCAGCACCGACTTGGTGCTGCCCTGGCTGCAGCTAGCAGCAGCAGAGGAGACAGTTGGGGTGCCTCTAAAGGGACAGTCCAGCAGCTTGTGGTGGTCTGCTGTATACTTAGCCTTCCGCAGCGGAGACATCTTGGTGGGCCCTCACCCGCTTCCAGCTGCTGCTGCTGCTGCTGCTGCTGCTGCTGCTGCTCTTCATGCTGCCAGTAGTGCTTCAGATAGTGCTGCTGCAGCGGGTGTTGCTGTGCTTCGTGCTGCTGCTGTTTCTCTCCATGCTACTGCTTCTGGTGATGCTGCTGCACTTCTTGCTGCTAATGATGCTCCGGATAGTGCTGCTGCTGCTGCTAATGCTGCTGCTGCTGCTTGTTGTGGCTTGGTGGGTGCTGCAGTGTCTCCTTTCCCTGGGTGCGGGTTCGGCGTTGTCTCCTGGCTGGTGCAGCTTTTCAGCTGCAGCAGCAGCAGCAATTGCTGCTGCTGCTGCAGATCCGTCTGCTGCAGTGCAGCAGCAGCAACAGCAGCAGCAGCAGCAGCAACCTGTGTGCGTGAGAGAGTACGGCGAGTATCCCTCGCTGCTGCCGTTCGTTTGTAGACAGCTGCTGCTGCTGCTGCTGGAGACCTCACTTGAAGCAGTTAAGCGCAATGCAACAGACAAAGAGGGACAGGCTGCAGCAGACGGTAAGGCCTCCTCACAGCAGCAGCAGCAGCAGAACCAGCTGCAGCAGCAGCACAATCAGCAGCAGCAGCAGCAGCACTAATAATAATAATAGCAGCAGGCTCATCAGCGGAAGGGCTATTAGTAATAACAGGCGCACTCAACAGCAGCAGCAGCAGCAACAGCAGCAACAGCAGCAGCAGCAGTAGTAGTAGTAGTGGGTGGAGTCTTTCTTCGGTGTGCTGCAGTACTCTGTTGTTTAGCAGCAGTATATATCTTCTTTTGTCTTTGTCTGCTGCTGCAGCGCTGCATGCATTTGCTGCTGCAATTCCCAGTGCTGCTTCTCTGTCTCCTGAAGCCACAACAGCGAGGGGTTGGAGCGACTGCTTCGTGCTGCACCCCCCTCCGCAGCAGCAGCAGCAGCAGCAGCAACAGCAAAAGGATGCTGGCGAGAAGACCGACCCGCATCTGCTGCTGCTGCTGTCGCTGCTGCGCCCTGACCTGTGGCCCCCCCTAAAGCTCTCCGAGACTCTGCAGGTAAATTAGGGTTTAGGGTTTAGGGTTTAGGGTTTAGGGTTTAGGGTTTACATGGAGAGATTAAGGTGCAGGTGCCCCTTGAGGTGTCTCCTCGCGCTGCAGCAGATGTCTCTTGCAGCAGCTTAGAGGCTGAGGCGCTGTCTCCTTTTCTGCTTTTGCTGCTGCTGCTGCTGCTGTTGCTGCAGCAAGTCACGCAGGAGGACTTCCTTCACTACCGACTGATGCTGCTGTTGGCTCAAGATCGGCAGCAGCAGCAACAGCAGCAGCAGCAGCAAAGTGAGAGTTTGCTGCTCCGAGGCCTCCGAGCGCTCGTGGGCAAGGTGAAGCTTCAGGGCCCCCTTTTCTTTGACCCGCAGCAGCAGCAGCAGCAACAGCAGCAGCAGATCGACTTCAGCACAGGAGCAGCAGCAGCAGGGGGCCCTGGCGCTCGTTCCCTGCAGCATCTGCAGCAGCAGCAGCAGCAGCAGGGCTGGGGTGATCCGCAGCAGCGTCTTGCTGCTGCGCTGCACGTAAACTTTACCTATGCTTGGCTGCTTACTCTCTGTGGAGGCATCATTGATGCGCTCTTGTGGCTGCTGCAAACCTATCCCTTTCTTAGGGTACGAGCTGCTGCTGCTGCTGCTGCTTGTGCTGCTGCTGCTTGTGCTGCTGCTGTTGCTTGTGCTGCTGCTGCTGCTCCTGCTTGTGCTGCTGTTTCCTTTGCTGCTGCCTTTCCAGTGGCCCGGTCCAGCTGTTGTCTCTGCACGCAGCACGAATTCTTGCTGCTGCTGCTGCTGCTGCTGCTGTGTTGCGGTGTCTGTGCATTGGTTGTGTTGTTATTTTGTTTGTTTTGTTTGCAGCGCGTTGCAATGCTGCTGCTGCTGCTTTGTTATAAGTGCGGCTGCTTGGAGGCTGCTGCGCTGCTGCACCTATCAGCAGAGGCGCTGAGTGCAGCAGCAGAATCGGCATGTGGGGCAGCAGGGACAGCAGCGGGAGGCTTTGCTGCAGCTGGCCTGGGAGCAGCAGCAGCAGCAGCAGCAGCAGCAGCAACAACAGCAGCAGGGACAGGGTGCCCGTGGAATGAAGAGGCGTGGGCCCTACACTGGCAGGGAAGGGGGGCCCCCTGTGAGTTGTCTCTTGTAGGGTATTGGCTGAACGACTTAGCTGCTGCAATTAACAGCACTTTGTGGTGTACAGACACGTCTTCTACTCAAGTAGCAACCCGTCTCCTCTTTGCTGCTGTCTCCTCCGCAACTCCTCAACAAGAGCTACAGCCCAACATGCGCGCGCAGCTTAAAGCTGTTATATTAGCAGCAATAGACAGAGGCCTCCTGGGGACAAGCCCCTTTCCTAAGCTCTTCTCTTTAAGCGTAAGAATATACTTATACTAAACTTACCCTCTACGCATGCACCGCACCTCCCAATGGGGCCCCCACAAGGGCCCCCACAGGGGCCCCCAAAGGGGCTTCAAAGGGGCCCCCACAAGGGCCCCCAAAGGGGCCCCCACAAGGGGACTCGCAAGGGTCCCCACAGGGGCCCAAAGGGGTCCCCACAGGGGCCCGAAGGGGCCCCCACAGGGGCCTTCACGGGGGCCCCCATAGGGGCCTTCACGGGGGCCCCCTGCATAGTTTGCAGAAGAGCCTCACAGGGGCCCCACAGGCAGAAGGCTTGTAGGGGCCCCTGGTGATTGCTGTTATTTTTGTTTGTTTGTTTATTTGTTTACTGGAGGGTGAGAAGTTGCTGTTGATGTGCTTGTTGTTTGTTTGCATATGTTGGGGTGTATGCTCAGCTTCTACCTCTCTTCCTTACTGTCCCCTTACTACCTGCTGTGATTAGAGAGTCGTTCGGGGCCCTTACAAAGCCAGGGGTGCTGCTAGCAGAAGGAGACAGCGATTTGTCTCCTGGGGTGTTGGAGGCGCTGCTGCTGCGAGAGCCTGACGTCCCGCAGCAACTCCACAGGGTGCAGCAGCAGAGATTTGCAGCAGCAGACCTTTACAGCAGCAGCAGCAGCAGCAGCAGCAGTTCGCGAATGCTTCTCAAGTATAAGCTGGAGGACGAGCTCTGGGGCTCCTATTTTGTGCTGCTAAGCTCCGACAGCAGCAGCAGCAGCAGCAGCAAAAGGCATTCGACGTCTCCGTGGGCAGCATTTGATTGCGAGTCTGCAGCAGACAGCAGCAACAGCAGCAGCAGCAGCAGCAACAACAACGAGGAGCTGCAGCAGCGGAGGCAGCTGCTGGAGGAGCATCCCTTCTTATTTTTGTTTTATTGTGCTCTAAGACACGAAGCAAAAAGACGAGGAGACCTTCGCACTGCTGTTGCTGCTTCATGGCTACTGACAGACGAACGCAGCGCTGCGGGTGGGTTCAATTCCCAGCACTAATTATTATTTATTTCTATTATTATTTGCAGCAGCAGCAGCAGCTACAGCAGCGGCAGATGCTGCTGCTGCTGTTGCTTCACTGCTAAGGGTACTGCACTCCTGCTGCTCCTCCCGCTTCACTGCTGCTGCTGCTGCTGCTGCACTCCTTTTGCTGCTTCACTGCTGCTGCGCTCATGCTGCTGCTGCACTCCTGCTGCTGCTTCACTCCTGCTGCTGCTGCTGCTGCTGCTGCTGCTGTTTGTAGAGGCGTTGGCGGATGCGTTTTCTTCGCATTTGTTTGGGGACTACGCGACGGAGTGCAGTAATAATAGACGCGAGCTGAAGGTGTTTTTTGTGAGGGCCTACAACTTGTTGAAGGTGAGAGAGACACTTGCTGCTTCTTTGCTGCTTCTTTGCTGCTTCTTTGCTGCTTCTTTGTTGCCTGCTGCTTTAGTTCTGTACTGGCAGCTGCTCTCTATCTCTTGCTGCTGTCTGTACACCTGAAGCTGCAGCAGGAAGCACCGCTGAGGGCGACACAGCGCAGCACAAGCACAGAGCTGCTTCTGCTGCAGCTACAGCAGCAGCAGCAGCAGCAGCAGCACCTGAAGCAGCAGCAGCAGCAAAGGCGTCGAGGCCTGGACACAATGTGTAATCCTTTCGTTTAACTTGGTGTTTATTTAATATAATATAATTTAATTTAATTTAATTTAATTTAATATTTATATATTTGTCTCCTTTTGTCTGCTGTTTACAGCGAAGATGTCTGAAGGTCCCTCGCCGTCTCGATTTGCTGGCAGCACGAGGGTTATTCTTCTCGCTGCTCAGCAACGAGCGCTTCTTCGAGGCGATGCATGCGTTTAATAACATACAGCAGCAGCTACAGTACGTGCTGCTGCTGCTGATGCTGTCACTGCTGCTGATGCTGCTGCTGATACTGTCGCTGCTGCTGCTGCAACTCTCTCCTCTGCTGCTGCAACTGTCCCTGCTGCTGCTGCAACTGTCTCTGGTGCTGCTGCAACTGTCTCCTCTGCCGCTGCAACTGTCTCCTCTGCTGCTGCAGCAGTCTACTCTGCTGCTGCTGCAACTGTCTCTACTGCCGCTGCAACTGTCTATGCTGCTGCTGCAACTGTCTCTGCACCTGCTGCTGTTGCAGCAGCATTTGCAGCAGCAGGCGGAGCGCTTGGCGTGTTGATGTGTTATTGTTCTGTCTCCTTGCATGCAGTGCCTTGTTATGCTTCTGTCTCCTTTCAATCTGTCTCCTTCTTTTGCTGCTGCCGTAATAATATGATTTGCTGTTGGGTTTTCTTTGCTGTCTCCTTTTTGAGTTGATTGCAAGTGTCTCCTTTTGTCTTGCTGTTAATTTATCTGTCTCCTTTTTAGTTTGCTGCCGGATTCAAGAGAAGAGATTAAGACATTCTTTAAAGGCCCTCAAGATTCTCGTATTGCTGCTGAGCTGCTAGATGCTGTTGTCTTCTTGCTGCGACAGATGCTGTCTCAGGGCTACCTGGTGAGCAGCAGCACAGCTGCAGAGACACCCCAGCTACAGTGTATCCGCAGCAGCAGCAAAGCGCACGTGGCTGCTACCGCTGCTGCTGCTGCTGCTGCTGTTGCTGCTGCTGCTGTTGCTGCTGCTGCTGCTGCTGCTGCCGCTTGCATATAGTTCGTGTTTATCTTTGTTGCAGTTGGGAGTGCTTAGGGCCTTATTAGAGTTTGTTGTTGGTGTTAGGGTTTGTTAGGGCTTAGGAGTGTTTAATAGGGTTAGGGTTTAGGGTTTATTAGGGTTTATTAGAGTTATATATCGTATTTTATACTGTATGAGGGTTTATTTGGGTTTATAATAAAAGCTTATTAGGGTTAGTGTTTAGGGTTTAGGGTTTAGGGTTTGTTAGGGTTTATTAGGTTTTATGATATGGATAGATTAGGGTTTATGAGGGTTTAGGGTTTAAGACTACTCGTCTTTAGGGTTTAAGGGTTTTAAGATTAGGGTTTAGTGTAATGACTTGAGTTGTTTATTATGATGCTGTTGTATTTGGGGTGTATGCGCAGCTAGAGAATCTGCTGCCGCTCGAGCGGCTGCTCGCCTTTCAATTAGTTGCTGCTGAGCTGCTGCAGAAAAGAGACAGTCCCTCTGTTGAAGGGACTCGCAGCTTTTTAACTCAGCTAGTCATGCGTTATCGGGCGTAGAGATAGAAAGGAGACAAAATAAACAAAGAAGAGGAGACAAAAGAAGAAGAAGGAGACAGAAGAAGAAGAAGGAGACAGAAGAAGGAGACAGCAGCACATTTAATAAATATGCATTTTAAATATATTTCAATGCATTGTCTATTAGCAAGCGGTGTCTCTGCTACGAGACACAGGGAGACAGCAAAACTTATTAGAAGCCCCAAAGGAGACATTAGTCTCAGGGCAGTACTTGGCGCAGCAGCAGCAACTGCTGCTGCTGCTGCAGCTGGTGCTGCTGTAGCTGGTGCTGCTGTAGCTGCTGCTGCTGCAGTTGCTGCTGCAGCAGCTGCTGCTGATTTAGAGACAGGGTTCTTATTACGCTTTGCTGCACGCGCGTGTGTTGCTGCTTTGAAGAAGAGACACAACATAGAGAGGAGACACAAGAGATGAGCATTAAGAGGGAAGGAGACAGAGTATAAAGAAGAGACAGACGGCAGAAAGGAGACAAAATAATTATTAGGGTAATACACTTGAGCTGCATCTTCTATCAGCCCCACCTACTCAGAGAGACAGAGACACTCGGCGGAGACAGAAATAAACAAATAAATAGACAGACAAGAAAAACAAATAAAGAAACAAATAGATTATAAATAAATAAACAAATATAAATAAACGAGCAAAGTTGCTGACGCCTTCAATTCGTCTAGGGATTAGAAGTATACGTACACAGCTAGCTGCAGCTAGCTAGCTGCAGCTAGCTAGCTGCAGTTGGTTAGCTCCCGCTGCAACACTCTGCTGCAGCACTCAGCTGCAGCAGGCAGAAGCAGCACCCAGCTGCAGCAAGCAGCAGCACCAAGCAGCAGCAGCAAGCAGCAGCTGCAAGCAGCAGCAGCAGCAGTCAGCAGCAGCACGGGATTGTTTTGCTGCATTTGCGTTAAGTCGTCTGTGTCTGCCTGCTAAAGCTGCATGCGCTTTCTTCTTTCTGATTAAATTGAGTGTCTATACACCCCACCATATTATTATTATTATTAATATTAGTATTATTACTATTACTATTATTGTTATCATCATCATCATCCTTCCTAATAGGAATGCTTATCAGTATAATAATAGTAATAATAGTAATAATAGTAATAATTGTTATTGTTATTATTATTATCATTATTATTATTATTATTATTATTATTATTATTATTATTATTATTATTATTATTATTATTATTATTATTCTGACTACTATTACAATTATTATCTTTACCATTACTATTGTTCTTATTATTATTATTATAGCTATTAATAATAATTAAAAAAATAATAATATTATTATTATCATTATATTATAATTATTATTATTACTATTCTTAATATCTTTTCTGCTGCTGTTGAGGCCGCCATTGAAGTGTCTGCACCGACTTCTCTCTTCCTGATGAGCATGCATACATTAAATTAGTTTAATTTGTTTAATTTGTTTTATTTATCTTATTTGTTCTATCTGCTAATAATGTTTTTAGTTGCAGTGGCGGCCTCTGATAATCATCGCGATGGTTTGGGGCTGCATGCGCATGCAAGCTGCCAGCCCCAGCATTCTCTAGAGCGAAATCCTCTAAAATTAGTAATAAGAATTAAACTTTAAAGTGCTACATGCAGCGTTTAGATGACCTTATGTTAGCTGCTGTTGTTGCAGCTGTCTATACACCGCAGCAGCAGCGTCAGCTAAGAGGAGGTATTTTGCTGCTGCTATCTATTTACTTGCCTCTCTTCTATCGCAGTCAGCAGCTGCAGTGCACAGACAGCTTAACAGCAGCAAAAGCGCCTGGCCTGTGGCTGCAGCAAACCAAACCTCCGTTTCCCCCCTCTACTGCTGAGGGTTTAGGGTTTAGTGTTTAGTGTCTAGTGTTTAGTGTTTAGGGTTTAGGGTTTAGGGTTTAGGGTATATGAATAAGGAACTGAGGTTTTAGGCTTAATGTTTGATAGTCTAGGATCTATGATTGATCCCCTGGGTAATATATACGGTTGGGGGCTTAGGGTTTAGGGTTTAGGGTTTAGGGTTTAGGGTTTAGGGTTTAGGGTTTAGGGTTTAGAGTAGTTGTTTAATAGCTTTCAAGATGGGGGGTGACCTCGAGGGTATTCCTAGAGAAGTGCTGCAGTGGCTCAGCGACTCAAACATTCAAATTGACAGCCGAGGCATCAAATGGGGGATGTCGAGCGGCCTCTTAGCAGCGCAGATGCTGCATTTAACCTTTGCTAAAGTTAGTGTCTCTTCTGCTGTCTCCTTCTGTTTCTTTATGTTGCCTTCTGTCTCTTCTGCTGTCTCCTTCTGTCTCTTCTGCTGTCTCCTTCTGTCTCTTCCGCTGTCTCCTTCTGTCTCTGTATGTCTCCTTCTGTCTCTTCTGCTGTCTCCTTCTGTCTCTGTATGCAGCCTTCTGTCCCTTCTGCTGTCTCCTTCTGTCTCTTCTGCTGTCTCTTTCTGTCTCTCCTTTGCTCTCTGTTCGTCTCTAGCTGTCTTTTTATGCTTATTTGTGTCTCTGTAGGCCTCTCGCTGTCTCCTTTCTTCTTCTGTCTCCTCTCTTCGTCTCCGTCTCTTCTTGCTCTGTCTCTCTCTCTCTTCTTTGTCTCTTTGTCTCTTCTGCTGTCTCTTTGTCTCTTCTGCTGTCTCTTTGTCTCTTCTTTCTCTGTGGGTCTCTCTGTCTCTGTCTCTATCTCTGTCTCTGTCTCTCTGTCTCTGTCTCTG